TGCTGTCAGACAGAAGCCAGTGACACATGGAGAAACGGGTGTTCTGTGGGCTGGCTGAAAGGAAAGGAAGAAGATGGTGGGGGAGAAAGCTAGTAATAGTTATTGTGCCTAGAATTTGGCCCCATTTTCTTCCTCCACTGAGGGGCTTAGAATAGAGGCCCAGCAACCCACCCCCCAGGTTGTCTTTTTGCAAATCCCGGGGGTAAGGGAGTGGGGTGCAAAGGTAAATGACAAAATTGCCACTGTTCATTTCCTCTGCGGCACCTGCAGTCTCAGGAAGGGCTTTTCCAGTGTAAAACAGCCCCAAGCTGATGGCACATGGGGGATTTGGTGATGGGAAGCCCACGGGGATTACAACTGAGATGGAAAAAGCCACAGAGTGATGTAAAAATAACCAACAACAATAATAAAAAAAAGCCCCAAGCCCCGTAACCTCAAGGGACTGGCTGGGCAGGAAGCACCAGTGTTTCTGCGTGTGCAGCCTTTGGTCCTGAAAGTACACCACAGATTTCTTATCACTGACCTTGAAAACAAAGAGAAAACAGGTGGATTCCTCCCCACGGGGCAGGTAGCATCTGGGCAAGCCTGTGGTGGCCTCCGTGCACCAGGCCTCTCTCCCCCGCCGCCGTTTCTCTGCCTCCCACAAACTCCTGGTTTTGTCAACTTTCTCTGTATCTTTACAGTTGAAATGGCTGTGGTTTTTGCTTTGTTTTCCTTTAAATTCTGAATTCACCTTTTGGTGTTCTTTTTGTGGATCTTCACGAGAATTTCTAGTCTGGACAGGAACCTGCGGCTTCTTGGTGACGGTTAGCAAGCTTTGTGGCATCTCGTGGGTGCTTCTGGGTTATGCTCGTGTTTTGCCTTTAGTGGTTATTCCATTTCTAACAGTTCGGAGCATGGATGAGTGGCTGGCAAAAGGAAGAATAAGGGTCACTTTTTCTCACGAGTAGCCCATGGGAGGCACAGGGCAGGCACTGGGGGAGCGTCTCCCTCACAGCCTCAGGGCTCCTGGACAATGAGCCTTGTTTCTCAAGTCTGTGTGGCCTGGAGCTTGTCCTTCACAGGGGCTCATAGCATCTTTAAAATCTCCCAGGACTTTGTGTTTCTCTGGTTTAGGCCAAATAGACCACACCAAAGTCCCTCCTCAGATGATATGACCCTGTACGAGGCCCAGAGCCTACCAACCCCATTTCGAGCCCAAGTCGCGACAGCTCTTCTTGTACTTCTCAGACCAGAACTGAGACTCAGACTGATTAGTGGTTCTGTTTGTTTTTAAAAGATTTATGCACACAGAACTGGGGTACAGGCCAGAGGTGCAAGGGGTGAGAGAGGATTTCCCAGAGACAAGAGTGGGGAGCAGAACAGGAGGATCCATTGAAATCCACTGCTGAGGGGAGCAGCAGGGAAGCAGGAGGGGTCTGCTGTGCCCTGGGGGTCACCCCCTGGCTGGGGATGGAACTCCTGCTGCGGTGGCTGCAGACAGCTTCACAGAGCAGTTCTTTAACCCCTGCGCCACCAGGGAGACCTGAAGATTAGACTTTGCTGCTGCTTCCTGCACTGGGCCCCTCAGTCTTGATGCCGTTTTGTTAATGTAACTGACGTGTGAGCTCACACACACCCTGGTACTGCAATGCTCAGTCTCTGCTGCTTCACTATGAGCATTCAAGTGGGTGCTATGCGCTTCCGTGAAGGCACAGGGATCCTTAACAGGGGAATCTGCTTCTAAAAGAATCCTTCACACTCCCTTGTGCTGGCCCGCCCCTTCTGACACAGCGGGCCTGCACTCAGGAGGGCCTACTCGGGCCTTGCCACTGGCCCTCGGGCTCTGTTGGACCAACTTCCCAGGAGAGCACCGATTTTATAAAGCACCTCGGAGACCTGGATCTTGGCTCTGATGCCATGTTCAGATTCTTCTTCATGCCCCTGAAGCCTCTCCATCTGTGTGCTACCTTCGAGTATCAAGCATCAGTAGCTCCCTCCCTTCCCTCAGTTGACTCTGGAGGGAGGCTGAGGCTGGCCTGGGGGCCATCCCTTAGGATCCTGGCTGGGTCCAGCACGGCCCCATGGGGTTGTAGAGATGAAAAGGCTGGGTATTACTGCTGCTTCTTCCCTGGCCTGTTTGTCTTGAGTAAACCTCGTGCTCCAAGTGGCCCCTAGAGCAGTCCTGTCCTGTCCCATCTCTCCTGCCTTACAGCCTCCCTATTGGATGAGGGTGCAAAAGCCTGGTCACTTTTCTTTATTGTCTTTCCAGTCTGTGGGGTGGGAGCTGCTCTAGAAAGGGGAGTCCTGATCAAATGCACAAACACTTCTGGCTGTTCCTACTCAGGAATGTGTTCCCTCAATGACCACCCAGGAGTCCTGTGAACGTCTCAACTCCGCATTCCTGTGGCCAGGCATTGGCTACTCGTGCTCGGAGCCACCTGCTGCCACCAGCCCAGGGTCAGAGCTCAGCCCAGAGGGCAGCACTGGCCAGCGGCCTGAGGCTGCCTCAGGCTGACAGTGGTGTTCTCTTCTGTGCCCCATCAGCGGGCTTGGCAGAGCAGCGCTCCCAGCCAAGGTGTGTGTGTGCCCGTGCGCGTCAGGATGCCCCAGCCTGAGTGAAGTCCTCACCCCATTACTGGCATCCCAGTCCATCCCCTGGCACCCACCTTCCTTGGGTGGCGAGTGGCCTTTCTTGGTCACCGGGCACCCCGTGCTGGGATTGCACCTGGCGTCGTCACCTCTGACCCTGGGTGTGCTCACGTCCCTTCCCTGCAACTGGCGATGTATTTCTGCAGCTGTTCATGACCTGAACAGCACAGCCTCCCTCCGGGCCTCATCCTTGGGCAGGCCCAGTGGGCAGGATGCTGGCCCACGCGGCCTGCTCTGCCCTGCCCGGGCCAGGCCGTGCGGCAGGATCTCGCTCCGCGCAGGCCAAGGCCGGGAGGGTGGGCGAGCACCACCTGCTGCCGCCACTTCCCAACACGCGGGTCCCAAGCCGCGCGCGAGAACTTACGCGAAGAAGGATAGAGTCTTTTGAATCTCTATCAAATGTGGTTTTTATTCAACTGACAAGCACTTTTCTACAGCTGCACTTGTGGAACATCACATGGCAAAAACAGGAGTTTTTCCTCTAGATTTTTTTTTCCTTTTTTAAACCTTATTAAAAATGAGATTGGTCCTAAAAATATAGAAAGAAATAAATTTAAATTCACAAAAAACTGTACATTATCAAAAAGTCACTAAAACACCACATTTGGTTATATAAAAAGTCAAGTCCCTTTTGTTGTAAAAGGAACACGGGAACTTGTTGGTGTCGATGGTGGTTCCTTCCTGTTCCCAGACGAGGAGAGGGGGCGAGGGGGGCTGCTGTTTACGTTAACCTGCCTTCCCTACCAAATACTCCCACTTGTCAAGAAGGAAAGTCCACCCAGCTCAAGGGGCAGTGAAACTGAGGAAAGCAGAGTGGGAAATGCCCCTGAGCCTGCCCTCACCCTCCCTCTGCCCACTCTTCACGAGAGTCAGGGCTCCACCCTCAGCCCTCCTCCGAGCCTGGTCCCGGGGGGAAGAGACGGAGGAATACAAAGCAGGAATCGTGGAGGCCCCCCAACAATAAAGTTAATCTCTAGTACATTTTATGCCAGGGAGAGTTACCGCGGGAAAGAGGCGCCCCAACTAGGACAGTTCCAAATGTCTAACACAAAGTTTGTTACAGCGCAGTTATTTAGATAAAATATAAATATTTATGCATAATATAAAGTCAATTCAAATATTCTTCAATCCACCTCTTATTTAAAAGCAAAAAAAAAAAAATCTCAAATAAAATTAAAAGTTGAGGTTTATCTGACAGAAAAGGCGACTTCAGAAATAGGCGATGGGGGAGAAGGGGCGTACAGACCAAGGGCAGCTGTCGGCCACGCTGCCCCTGCCCTCAGTGGCTCTTCAGTGCTGCCAGAGGCCCAGGAAGCTCCACCTTGCGGCGCCCCCAGCGGGCATTTCCTGGCTCTCGGCTCCCTGCAGGCCGGCCAGCAGCCGCCTCCCCAGTGCAAGTACCCGTAATCTCTGGTGGGGGGCTCCGCTGGGCAGGGGCAGGCCCAGGCGCCCGCCATGGCTGGGAGTCGCCGCTTTCCTCTCACACGTGGGCTTCCTGGGGCAGTGACGTGTGGGGCGGGGGGGGCCCGGGGCCCTCCTCCCCTGCTCGCTGTGCTCCGGGGTCTCTGCTACTGGGCAAGGGGTCCCGGCATGAAGGGCACAGGGAGGGAAAGCACAACTAAATCCACAGACCGCGTGGGCTCAGAAGGTCCAGTTCTGTTCCTCTCCCTTCAAAAGCTCAACACTCAAAGCTCCTGGAAGGAGAGGCGTCCTGCTGAAGGATTGCACAGTTTGAAGAGGCTGGAACAGAAGTGACTGGGAGAGAGAGGAGAGACACAGCCTGGTACCCAGAAAAACTGTTCCTGTGGTTTCCCAAAGACAACAGCGATAGTTTAAAACGGGGAAGGTGGGAATAGAAACAATTACTCGGGGAACTGAGTGGATGCCACCGAGCAACAGAGGGGCACAGTCACAGCAGCCTCGCGCGCTCGCACGCACGCACCTCACTGAGGCCAGTCGACTGCTACCTGGCCTCCACCTTGGGTGCGCCCAAACTCAGCAGTAGTTGTCCCTGAGGAGTTCCCAAGAGGGAGGTTTGGGTAAGAGGTGGGAAGGAGGCTGGGAGGCCCAGAGTACCTCCCGCCCTCTCCCCAGCTCCTGAGTTTCAAAAAAGGCCAGAAACTCAGCACGTGAGGAGTATCCAACGTCATACAGGGGAGCCGTCGGCAGGAAGAGGAGGGCAGAGAGACAGGGACCGCTTAACGGGGACAGAGACTGGGGCAAAGAAAAAAGGAGGGGGAACCCGTACAAGATAGTTTTACATTATTGGATGATAGAGAATCTGAGAAAGGGATGGAGGTGGGGTGAGGAAAAATGGAAAAGTGGCGAGAAGCAGGGTGGGGCGGGGGGCTGAACATGAAAGCAGCATGTCCAGGGCCCGGTGTCCGGCTCGACACACTCGGGAGTTAAGTCCACTTTACTGGCCGTCACTGCGGGTCCACACACAGTACAGAGTGTTTCTCGGTTTCACACATTCACTAGAACTATTGCTATTGTTAAATAGCCCCAGCGTACTGGGGCTCGCACAGGGAAGAGAGGAAGCTGGAGGAGGAAGCAGGGACTCCTTTCCTCCTCGTTTCAATTAGAAAATAAAACAAAGGAAAAATTCTTTTCTTTTTTTTTTTTGGCTTTCAGTCCAGAGGACCTCATCTCCGCCCCTCTCCTCTGAAGAGCGAGACGAGACGAGGAAAGGGAGCAGGGTGTGGGAGTAAAGGACGTGGGGCACTGCCGAAGGGTCAGAGCCAGGGTTCCGTCTCTGACCGGAGCCTGGACCCAGGCGGCGTCAGCAGGTGAGAATGGCAGGTGAGTTTCATCCAGAGGCCGGGCGCAGACCTGCCGCGCGGTGACCCCACCCCGGCCTCACAGCGCGGCCTGTTTGCCCTGATAAAACTCCTCCCAGCGGCTCTCGAAGAAGCGGCGCATTATGTGCCCAGCCCTGCCCACTTCCGAGTCGTCTTCGTTGAAAGTCTGGCAGTTGTCGAAGACCAAGAGGGCGTCAGCTGCAAACTCCTCGGAGCTGGTGTACCTGGCCGGGCGAGGAAGCCGTGAGCGGTGGGGGGGGGGGGGGGCGCGCACGACACCCTCCCGCGGGGCTGGCAGTGCGCCGGGCCGCGTCCACTTACCCTCCGCGCAGCAGCCGCTCCCGCATGGTGGAGAAATCCATCGGGTTCTTGATGATGCGCCGGTACCCACTCACCAAACGCGGGTTCACCGGCTCCAGGAAAGGCCAGGCTGCGTCGTGGGACTCCATCTCCATCAGGATGATCCTACCGCGACAGACAGACAGCGGCGGCTGCACCCCAGGAGCGAGCACAGACACGGCCCCTCCCAGCGCCTCTCTGGCAGAGGCAGGGCCAGCCCTCCCCCAAATTCACTCACTCGCAGAACGTGAGATCACTGTGGTGGTTACGCATGGAGAGCCGCCGGCGCTTGGAGGGGGACAGCCCCTCCTCCGAATACCGAGGCACTGCGGGGCTCTCCCGGCCCCTCGACAGCACCCGGCGTCGTCGGCCATCCCCCTCCGGGAAGCTCAGCAAGTAGCTGCTTTTCCGCTTCTGGCCTCGCTTTGGGAAGCCAGGCTTCTGCGTGAACTCCCCCTCTGCCTGCTGAGAAGCGGGAAGGAGAGCTGACACGGCGGCCCGCAGGGGTCTCGGCTCCAAAGGCAGCAGCATCATGTGCATTCGTTCGTGGAACCGATTAACACGCGCGGAAGGGCAAGTATGACCACCCCCGTTACAGAGGAAAGGCAGGCGCCGAGGAGCTGGAGTTCAGGGGCAGAACCAGGTCTCCGAGCTCCTGTCTGCAGCTCTGCAAAGGGACCGAAGCCCAGGTGATCTCCGTAGACCTCGCGGTACACGCGGTGGGAGAAAACCTCATTTCGGTTAGGGGTGGGGATGAG